GTCGACGTCGTATTAGCCGCTCCACCTCGCAAGTTGGCGTTATCACATGCGGTCGGCTGATAGTTGCTTTCACCTGTTCAAACAAGACTTGAGCCGCAGACCATGAAATGAGGAGAGGCGTTACGAACAGTTGCAGTAATCCATCGAGAAGACGAGATCGACGATCTGATCGAACTTGTGAATATAACTGGTATACGGAGGGAAGGCACCTCCACCGGGGACATCGATCCCCAGCAAGAAAGGGGTGGTATTGGTTTGCCCTGCCAGATCGTCCAGAGCCACACGTAACCCAGAGTAGAGTGTATACAGGTATGTAGTCTGTTCTCCAGAGGGGAACTCCCAATCGATGTCGATTCCGTCGAAGCCGAAGTCTTCGAGCATCTGCACAGCAGACTTGACGAATGCCGCTCGATACGACGTGTCGTTTATGTATTCAAAGTTTTTCGCTCCTCCGCCACCAATGGAGAGGATTGTCTTCAGATTGCGGTTCTGCGCTTTGAGGAGGAACAGTTGTTTGAAATTGCCATAGACGTTGGTACCCTGGTAGCAAGATGATGGTTTCGACATCTTCAAACGGATGTCAGGCAAGCGCGCTCACTGACCGACTCGCCAGAGGCATCTCCAGGCACTTTGTTGATCATATCAGCATAAGTGTCACCGGCACTGACCGTACCGTTTGGGCTGATTTGGGCGAAACCGTAGATGACGTGAGTGAGCTCCGTCACCGGAAGATCGCTGGGATCTACCGTTCACATATGGTTAGATGCAATCTACATCTGCGTGCTTACAGAAGGTCATTGTGAGGACATACAGTAGGGTTCCACATTGTATATGTCATAATTCGCATAGTATGCCACGCTCACGAAACCGCCTGCGGTAGAAGTAAGCAACGCCTGGCTCGCAGACGCTACCGCTGATGAAGGTGCACTGCATCCCCGTTTTTGATGATGTGATTTATGGCCCGTATTGCTGCGACGACGCGGTGCCAGAGTAGACTGGTGATGCGACGCCTGTGAATCAGATTCAGTGTTATCTGTTCGAGATAGGGGTTGTATGTATGCATGCGCACTCACATAAGTATCGGTGACAGCGATAAGGACGAGGAGACCAATGAGCGCCTTACGCAAAGCCATACTGAAGCAAGGGGCCGATGGGGAGGGCTGAAACTCGAAAGGGTCGGGTTATTCGAAGATGAAGTCATAAGACGTGGCAAATCTAAGTGTGATAATAGTATTGTTAAGTAAGTCCGAGGTCTAGGATACGGTGCAAGTTCGGCAATAAAGTCGAACGGATTTTGTAATTCGGATTTCCCCCGCGACAGCTGCGTGGCTGAGAGACACGACCGCGCGAAAAATAATCTTCCGTGAGTCGATTCCGACCTAATAGGGCTTTTTCGGGTGCCGACATGTCAGTTGGCGAATAGTCTCCATCGAGTCGATATAGGCGAGTGGGTTGTCAAGGTAAAATGCGTGATGCCCGGAGATGGCTCAGTGTCACACCCTCAATTTCAACGACAATGCCGTCTTTCGGCACTAAAGGCGTCAAGAGAGTTGGTATAAAGTGGGCGTACTTGATAAAGGCGGAAGATAAGTAAAACCTTTTATCCAACAAAGGGATGAGGGGAGGGAGTGGATGTGACAGAGGAAGCTGCGCATGGGGACGACACGACTGACCCTGACTAATTTTGCCATCTCATAAGAGGTCAATCTTTTTCGCTGGCCATTGATTCTCTCCATCTTCCTTCCGATCCCCTCCCACTCTCCCTTTCGCCCGCCAATTTGTTACTTTGCTTGCAAAGTTCAAATTTCCCTCCCTTCCTTTCGCCCCCAATCCTACTCTCCTTTCGTTCCTCCTATGTTCAAATCCGCCCTCCTCGCCCTCTCCTTCTCCGCCTTATTCGCCCTCTCTGAAGCCACCACAGCGGAGGTGAGCGACCACTAAATTGACAAGCATTCATGTTGAAAGGGGCTGACTTTACGCCACTCATCGCAGAATGCCGTCCTTCGTCGGCACCACAATCACGCTGCTCATTACAAGCGGGCCAAGTCCTCTGCAGGATCAGGGAAGCATTCATCCACCACAACGACAAGCACGGCCACCAGCACCACCGATTCTTCCTATAGCACCAGCACAGGCACATCGGATGCAGCTCCTACATCCAGCTCAAGCTCGGGAGGTTTCATCAGCTCCGCCTACATGGCCAACTGGGATGGATCCAATAAGACCCCATTCTGTGAGTCAAACATCGATATCTTCAGTGGGATGCTCGCCGTCAAGTACTCATATTCGTCATTTTGCTATAGATCCCGCTGATCTGCCCGTTGACCAGCTCACCCACGTCAACTATGCTTTTGCTGTCATCGCCTCTGACGGTACCATCAGCTCCGGTGCCACCAGCGACGACCTGACCAAGAAGTTCCCTGGTGACAATACCGGCGAGTCGGTCAGTCAGGGTGCGATGCGTTCAGCACCTACTAGAATGCTAACAGCGTTTTTATCTTCCATTCAGGGTAACAATGTCTATGGAAACTTTAAGCAGCTGTTCCTCCTCAAGCAACAGAACCGTAATTTGAAGACCATTCTTTCCATCGGTGGCGGGGGCGCGAAGAACTTTCAGTACATGACCTCCGCTTCCTATCGCGCGACCTTTGTCAAGACCGCCGTCAAGATGGTCTCGGACTTCGGCTTTGACGGTGTCGATGTCGACTGGTTAGTACAAATCGCGTTATATCCTATTCACTTTGTTCAACGGATCCGACCTTTCACGCTGTAGGGAATTCCCTTCAACCAGCAATATCGGATCCTTTTATTCCCTGCTCAGCGCTTTCCGCACCGCACTTGATAACCTGGCTTCGGATCTCAACACCACCCCATTCCTGCTCTCCATCGCCATCCCTGGTGGTGGCCCTTCTTCATATTACACTAGTTACGTCTCCAAGATTGACAAGGTCCTCGATATGTGGAACGTTATGAACTACGATATCTGTACGTACGAGAACAAACGTGTTTTTCAGCACACTGTCGTTGTGCTAATCCTTTCGGTGAATCCTAGGTGGTTTCGGCTATCAGTCCACAGCCTGCGATGTGGCAAATGTGAAGGGTGGTTCGGCGAACGGACAGTCGACTGTCGAGTGGCTGCTCTCTAATGGAGCTACAGCTACGAAGATCATCAACGGTATATCACCTTATTAGATCTTATCTACGAGAAATGATATTAAAATTGGTGCATCTTAGGCAACCCACTTTACGGCTACGTGTACACCGGCACCGACGGTCACGACAAATCGTACAACGAGAAGAACGCCCTTCCTGGTGACCAAGGGCCTGGCGGAGTGAGTGACTCCTCTCCATTATTGCTTTTCGCTTTGTGGGCTTCACCTGATTGTGTTATTTGAACGGCTCCTAGTACTCTGTCAAGGATCTTCCTCTCTCATCGATGACGGATCATGCGCTGACCGAGGATAAGGAAAACATTGCCTCGTATGCGTATTCCAGCAGCGCCAAGATCCTCGCGTCGTACGACACACCCACCATCGCAGCGTTGAAGGCCGAGTGGATTATCTCGCAGAAGCTTGGAGGTGCCATGTACTGGGTACGTTGGAATTTGAGTCCGAGGGGTACAATAGTTGACCGCTTTTTGTTTTTAGGAGATCTCTAGTGACCACAATACCACCGAGTCCTCACTTGTTTATCAATACGCCGAGACCTTCCGCGCAACTGGTGGTGGATTAGCCTTCTCTTGCAACCATATCGACTATTCCACTTCTAGGTCAGTGCTTATTATCTGAGCATCTCCCTTAAATATCCTTGACTCAATTTCTCGATGTGATAGCTACGACAACATTAAGAACGGAATGGGTATCGTAGCCAAGGCTTGTGTTGCGCCGTCAGGCTCATCCGGTGATGGTAACTCGTCATCACCGTCAACGACAACGACATCTGCTATTGGTGCCGCTACTGGCAACATCTTGAACTCCGCTGTGTCCGCTACAGCGACCAGCACCAGCTCGGACGCCCAGAGCACTGGCACTGATGGCGGATCTGATACAACCGGGGATGGCTCTGCCTCGACCGGTGGTGATAGCTCGACCGATATTGGTAATGCAACTACGACCTTGACTACATCTGGCGCGGACTCGACAGCCACAGACACCATTGACTCGGCAGGCGACTGCAGCTCTGATAGTGGGAACTCAACTGGCAACAGCACAAAGACCAAGAGGAGTGTCAACATGACGCACATGTCACAGGGTCGCAGCTCAAAGAAGAGGCGCTCATCCAGCCGGAAAGCCCCCCTACGTCTCGGTGAGTTGGAACTACTCAGTTTCGCTCCTTTTTACTGATTTTCGCCGTTGTTGCCTTCCTCAGCCGATTTCAGCATATAACCCTACAACCGCCCTCTCAACACCCACACAGCTCTTAACGAATCACGATGTGACGCCAGCCGCCATATTACGAAGCCGTTTTCTATCCTACACACTCCCTTGGGTCCTTTCTACATGACTCGATATCTTTGTGGATGGGCGATTGCATGCGTGCATGCATTAGTTTGTCTCAGTATATTACCTATGGCAGTGCCGTGGAATGACATTGACTGTCAAGATTGAAGATGCGAGTCCGAACCGTTCTAGGTTGCGTGCCTCGACGCTCTCTGGAGCGATTGCAATTGTGAATGATAATCGTATGTGTTAGGAAGTGATGCAGCTGGACTGATGTGTGTGCGCAACCTCTCGGTATCATCAGTCGAAGCATCAAGCTAGTACAATGGAGTGGCCACAGTTCGTTCTCGATATTTATATGCACACACATGAAATATTCTTGACAACCCCTCCCCCCCCTTTTGTCACCTCACAATATTCACTGAAGGTATAGCCACCAAAATTTTACAGAATAAGGGTACTGTCCATCTCGAAATGCTTGAAGCTCATCGAAGGATTGGGGGAGCCGTGCGAAATTGTCTGGGCGGCTATCTATGAATTCTATGGTGGAAGGGGAAAAGATGATCCGTAAGGGGGTCAAACCCTTGACCTTAGCGTATGAACGGGTTCAGATCTAGCCCCATTAGGGCCACACTCTAACCAACTGAGCTAACCGATCAGTTCTTACCATTCCATCGGAATCAATACTACAGTCTATAATTGTTCCTTGAAACACTAAAGTGATGGGAATGGCTGTACTAGAGTCAAATCTCAGGCAATCATAAAGCAAATTACATACACATAAAGCTTACAGTCCAGAGAATTCATGTGCGAAATTTGGTAGAGAATTAACAAGAATTGGGGGTAGTGCAGAGTTTTAAGATCTAGGGGGTAGGTTTTAAAAAGTCAATCCTTGGGGCAGCTGTATTCCATGTGGTGAGACACATCACTGAGGTTTCACTGCTACATTGGTGGTATCCAGTTCTAACAGCAGTTTATTGGGTCACTTTAGGGGTAAGGTCTATCTTTCCTCAGGGTCTACTGCTTGTAAAGCAGCTGTGAACCTAAAGCACCTCTAGAGGGTGCTTTATGAATGCTGATACATGCAGCCTGCTCACTCATCACTGAAAAAATTCTCTGGTTCCTCTCTTATGCAGCTATGGAGACCACTAAGACACATTTCACATAGACTGTACCATTGATTAATACTCTGATTGGCCTTGTGGAGAATGATGAGAACTGAAAGGTCTTCCTTGGGAGGAAGAAGGATGAGGTGCAGGCACATTTATAGGGTGCACTTTAGCTCTGTATAATGCCTGATAGTCTGTCCATATCCAGAACACATCAGGTGATAAGAAGATTACAACCTATAAGGAGATTGCTGAGGAGATGCTCTCAACTGAGTGGAAGGACTTGGCACAATAAGGAACCTTGATAAACAGAGTTAACAGTAAAATGGGAATGATGAGTTTGCTCCTTCACAACTTTTTAAAACCCTAATTCATTCCTGAACACCCAGGCTTCAAGACAAGGAACAGGCAAAGTGAATGAATACTACTGGTAGTGGTGTGTTAGCTGCTGGTGATGATACCCCAGAGGCAGGACATATCACATCAAATCTGTATGTACCACTTGAGGGACCTGATTTTGATAATACTCCAGAAGCAACAATCTTTGGAGTGAGTTATCAAGGCACATATTGAAGATTTGCATATGGACTGACACTATTGGACCAGCACTTATGTGCACTGCATTTTCCTACTTTGAAAGGATGCATGGGCCTGTTGGCACATGTCCTAACATGATCTTGATCATAATCATGGGTGGAGCTGACCCTAATAGCAATGGGTTCATTACTTTTGCTCAGTCCTGCTCACCCACTCACTTGCCTGACAATGAGGGGGTGATTGACCCTGCACTTGATAATCTCACAGCTAAACCCCCATCTGGCCCTCCTCCTATTGATTTGGAATATCAAGCCCTTCAGCCAGCTTTGGGCTCAGCAACAGATAACATCATCCCCAGCTCAGCCACATTGGAACCCTTAGCTTCTACACAGGACAAACCATGTAAGATTGCCAGCATAGCTCCTAAGCCTTCATCCTTTCTGATCTCACAGAGACATAGTTCAAGCACATCCAAGTCATTGCACAAGGGTCTTGAGGTGCTCCTTATAGACTTGCAGAAATATTTACTAACTTCAGCTTAGCATTCATTGATACATAGTCTCATCTTCAGGCAGAATATGAAGATCACCAAGGACATGGCTAAAAGAGAGGTGTAGGATCATACCCAAGCAGTGCTTCTTGGGGAGTTCAGGAGGGGCTTATCACCAAGGAGTATCATAGGCCCATGCACCCCAAGCTTGAGTGGCCAGATTCCAATGTTGACCAGCCACACAAGAAGTGTAGGATGTGACAAGCAGATATGGAGTCCTCCAATGGGTCTAGATGGTCAGAGGATGAGGCATCTGAGTTGAGTGGGTTGGAATCTTAGTTCCTACCTTTGATTTGTGTAAACCCCCCATTCACTTGCAGATCCCCAGGACTGCTCAGTTCTTGCACTACACCCTTACAAACTACTGATACTATTTTGAAGGGACTCTTTTGTCATAATAAAATCCAGATTACTTGTTGTATGCAGGATGAAGTCAGTGTGAACAAAAAGGTGAATGGTAGGCCAAGTTGTGGTGAAACCCTGTAACTGTACATATTCACATGAGCTGGAAAACATTGTTGATGGGTGCCTCACCCCCTACTTTCTTCTCCTTCACTATCTGACTCTAAGTAAACTGTGGCACTGGGTCTCACTTCTTTTGATCAGTTGTCCTCAGAATAGTGTTAGGTGAGAAACTCCACAGTGACTTTCTCATGTGTGATATTATTGCCTGGTCCAAATAGGTAATAACTTGCACTGTTAATAATGGTGAGTTATTCAGGTGTCCTGACCCTGTTGCCATCTTGTTCACTAAGTCCTTATTCTAACTCTATTATCCCATGATCTCCTGTTGTTACTGTTTACCTATATGCTTATGCTGACATGTATGTTCTTTGATGTTCTCTCATATGCTGATGCATACATTCTTTGATGTTCTCTCCTATGCAGATGCATATGTTCTCTGATGTTCTCTCATATGCTGACATGTACATTCTCTGATGTTCTCCAATTACTATATATTGCTTGAAGTGAGGAGGTCATGTTCCTCACTTCATCTCCTGTATTCTCCAGTCTAGTCTGTAGTGACTTCTATATTCCTTAGTCCTCCATGTCTCATAGTTCACAGCCAGAGTATCCTGCTCACCTCACAACCATGTGCCCTTGTCCTTGCCCCACAGTAACCATAGTCACAACATTAGGTGAAGTCATCCCATGAGCCTGATACTCTTATGGATCAAAATCAGCAACTTCCAGAACAACCAGGATTGCTACCACTGGTGTTTAACACACAACAACTGCAGCCTGACATGGCTGCACTTCTAGCCATGATGCAACAACTCCAAGCCCAAGTAGCCCAGCAAAACATAGTGCTCCAATAAGCAAACCAGCAAATCCAGCAACAGATGCAGCTGAATCAGCAACTACAGCAAGCAAATCAAAACCTTTTAGCAGCAATCCCCATCCCAGTAGCCCCCATAGTGCCCCTGGCACCAAACCCTCAAGTCCCAAAAATCAAATGATATACCAGTGAATGTGGTGCACCAGCCCACATATTCATGCAACAACTCTGAATGATTTTCAACATGCAGCAAGTGCAGTTTGCATTAGATGACACATGCATCCATTATGCACTCCTCCACATGGATGACAAGGCTGCAGTTTGGGCACAGCCAGTCCTTGAAGTAGTCAACAACCCCCCTATGAATCCACCCAATTGGCATGACAACTGGGATAATTTCAAAGACCACTTTTTTGCAATGTTTGGTGACCCTGACAAGACACATACTGCAGCACATAAGCTTGACCAACTGAAGCACACTGTGTCATGCACAGACTATGCCACAGAATTCCAGCAGCTGATCTCAATCCTGGGATACATGGAAGAGGCACAGCTGAAGCAAAGGTTCTACAACAGACTATGAAGTGGAGTGAAGCAAGTGCTCATCAGTAGCTGCTGGCAGCAACTAGGATTTGAAGAGGTAGTAAGGATGGCAATTGAGTTGGATAATGAGGTCCAGCAGATAGCTGAAGAAATGCAAAATTTGCAGGAGTTGTGACTAAAGCAGCAAGATGGAAGAAGGCAAGGGAGAGGAAGATTCGGAAATCTGCTCCCCACAAACCCCACATACATGCTGCCAGCATGACAGGGGACTCCTGGAGCCTAACAACAAGGAACTCCAGCCCCACATCAACAAACCCCAGCACCAGCAACTGGTGCTGTCAACACCAATCATCATCAAATCTCACCAGAAGAATGTGCCTACCACCAGCAGTACCACCTTTGTTTCTGTTGTGGAGATCTGGGACATGCAGCCCACAACTGCAACATTTGTCAAGCCCAGGCAACCAGACTGGTGCCAAGCTTCAAAGAATAGCTGAGGGCAATGCAAGCAGTGGAACCACAGGCAGAAGTGCAGGATAGAGCAGCTGAGCAGAATGGGCAGTCAGGAAACAAGGACTGCTTGTGAGCAACTGCACCCTCATGAGCAGAAACTGGAGGATTAGGTCAGATACCCCTTATGATAATATCAATGAAATCACTTCTGTCTTGCTATCATCCAAATGGAGTGCACATATGTTAATCCCAACCACCCTCTACATTCAAGACACAACCTACAAACTGACAGTGCTAGTAGACACAGGTGCTACTTCTGAATTCAATAGTCAGCAATTTATGGAAGAACACCATATTCCCACATGTCCACATCCTTTCCCCCTCATCCTAAAAGACATCAACAACTGTCTGCTAGGAACCATTGACAGGGTTGTCACAGCCACCCCCCTCACCAACAACCACTAAGAAGAAGTTGTGTTCAAAGTAGCCCCAACAGGGTGACATGCCATTTTTCTGGGCCTCCTATGGTGTCAGAAGCACAACCCTGATATTGACTTCAGGGACAACCATATCACATTCAGTGATGCATTCTGCTCAGCAAATTGTCTGGAGCACCCCCCTGATGTCATCAGGCAGAATATTGAAGAACCTGTCCTTCCATGACCTATCCCAGGCAAGCAGTACTCTGACAAAGAAGAGGAAGAGATTATCACAGCAATTGAAGAAGATCAGGAGATTGTGATACAAGAAGAAGCAGAAGCAGCAGCAACCAACTTATCAGCAGAAATCATGAGAAAACACTTGGAAGAAGAAAAGGCAGTCACAGACATCATACCACCTGAATACTATGACTTCCTTGACATCTTCTCTGAGACGGCCCCTGACAAACTCCCTGACCACTATAGGTATGACATCCCCATGAACTTTGTCCAAGATGTGATACTCCCAAAGCCTGCAGGTCTCTACCCAATGTCAGACATGGAGAACAAGGAGCTAAGAGAATGGTTGGACAACATGCTGAAGAAGGGATTCATTTGCATCAATCACAGCATTGTACTATGCTGATATGGACTTGATAGACATGGTGAAAGAGAAGTTGCACACAGATAAGAAGCTGATGCCCATCATGGCCTTCTTTGATGTTGATCCATGTGCAAAGATGGATGGGTATGAGTTTGAAGATGGGG